TCCACCAATGGGAACTACAGTGATGACAACCATATTTTACACTAGTGACAAGTGTGCAGTGCTAACCATTGACAATTGAACACAATGATTAAACAGCCAATGACAGTCAAATTTGATGAACCATTGATGGTGACAGAGAAACATTGTCAATGATTGATAAACTTGATAGCTGATTATGTTTCTGTGTTTTCTGTGTTGGTCAAGTACTGCTGAACTTCTGCATTGGATTTTTATCTCTCTACTCCTAATGAACCGCTCAGCTGCGTTGGGCCTCAGTTTCAATGTCTGTGTCTCTGTGTGTGTTTCATTGTGGCATTTTAATCAATATTAAAAGCTGCGAGTGGAAAGTACATAAACATTTTTGGATGATGGTATCTGTGCATAGCACGTTTACATTCATAAACAGATGGAGGTACGAGGGAGTGCTTAGTGTTCACTGCTCGTCAGTCTGCCGCTGTCTCTGAACCGAGGTATTTCCTGCATACGTGCCTGTGGATTTCCTGTTTTTGTTGCTTCATTTATGAAAAACACACGCGCGCGCACACACACATACACACTTCATTCGTCAAAACGAGGTTTTATTAACCGTGAAAAAGCAAATGGCCACAGTTTTACAATGAAGAGCACCTGCTCTACTGAAACAGAACCTGGGGGGCAGAATTCAGTCTGTCCCTTCATGGCAGAAAAAACACCTGGGACTTTATCCCTGAACCTCTGTTTGTTCTCTCCATGTCACCTTCTTTAGTGCACAAATATGAGTAAAGTCACTCAAATCACATGTCCCCCCCACCCCCACATTTCTTGATACTCTTAATACATATAGGCTGATACAGCCCAGCAAAGTACAGTATGTAATATAGTATGAAGGATACAGGGCCTGTCTATATAAATCGGCTTAACAATGATTCAAAAAGATTGCTGGGTTGTGAATCGCCTGGGGCTGGGGGTAATTATCTGGGCTGATAAGGAGGGTGTTGGAGCTACTTGGTTTATGCCAAAGTCACGTCTGCTTTGCTTAATCAGATGGGCTGGAGTTCAGTTTTCCGGTCCCTCTGAAGACATGTCTCTCCTGTTCCCTCTATCTCCCATCTGTCTCTATCCTGACAGGAAGGTCCTCCTTTTCCTCTGAATGATTTTATACTTTAACAAACTGATACATTGCTGTACTGATCTAACTTTACACGCAATCTCCATTGTTAGTTCAACATACGTGATCACCTCCTGTGGGTTTCATAGAAGCACACCTTTTCCGATACTTTTGGTTGAAACAGACATCCTGGATACGGCAGTTTTGCTACCATAATCTGGTACCAGCCAGCCTGCAAGTTCAATTTCATTTATTTTTATATGCCACGTTTCACAACAGTCACCCAAAGGCACTTATTAGTGTATCTGAAGCTCTAGCAAAGTCGGGTTATGAGGTTTGACTGTTTTGTACTTAACAGTGAAATATCCATGCTTTTAAATATTACTATCCAGCAGGTGAATTTCAGGACAGATTTTCTTGACCCCAGTGCAGACTTCCTGCTCACTGCCCCCCCCTCCCCCCAAGACTCTCTCTCTCTGTCTCTCTCTCTTTTCTCTACAGACTTCCTGTGACAGAGGAAGTGCCTCTGCCCTCAGCCTCTTTCCCCATTGGCTGCCTGAACCGGCTATGATTTGGAGAGATAGAAGGAGAGGAATGTAGACTGTGGGGATGAGAGAGCGGCAGGCGACAGTGGAGAAGAAACATGCAAGAGGTAGGAGTCCACGCAGCAGGGGAACAAGAGAGGTGGAGAGGAGGAGGTGGAGACCCAGACCGGGAGCAGGAGTGTCTCAGTAAATGTCAGTTGGACAGACATAGGACAGTCACACAGGCAGTGAAGACAGGGTGAGGTCAGGCAAATGTCAGGCAGAAGACAAGTAGACAGGAGGACAGGCAAACAGGCAGAGGACAGGTAGACAGGTAGAGAACAAGCAGACAGGCAGAAGACAAGCTGAGAGGACATACTGAAGACGAGCAGAGCGTGCTTTTGCCAGCGTACTCATGATGGAAGATGCCACAGCACATCTATATGTCGGTATGTGGTGTGGTTGAAAGCAGCCCGTTTACTCTCTGTCCCGTCTCTCCCAATCCTTGTACCAGTGTCTGGTATCCAGGTGACGCTGGCAGGGGTTTGGGGGGGCGGAGCAAAGTGCCGTACACCTGACCAATGGGACGGGGAGCATTCACTTATCATGATCAGCATCATCATTTTTGTAAATGTGTGTCGGCATTTGTTCTTGCTTGCTTGAATTTGCTGCCATACCACTTCAAACTTTTTTGCAGATGTGTGTGTTTGTATTTGAGCATGTCCCCATGAGACAAATGTACCTTTTTCAGCTTCTTCTAAAAATACAAAACACCATTTTTATATGATGTATTGAGTTATTTGGCATTATGTCCTGTTAAATGTGGTGTTACACATTAATTTTATGTGTATTGTTTGTAGAAAATAAAGTCCATGTGTAGAACGTGCTGTGTTCCTAATGCTTTCTTGCCATATGATAAATCAGCTGCTGTCAGGAAGACTTGCCTCACATATTTACGTCTCGTTCACTCCATGCCTTTCCCTGTCGATTAGCATCAAGGCAGAAAGAATAGGTAACACTCCCAGCATGCACCCTGCTAGTGACAGAAATTAATTTAATGTGTTGCCTCCCACTCTCTCATCCCCTCCATCTGCATTCATCCACTTCTGTCTTTCCAGAATTATAGCCGGCTGATACAGCCAATGGAGAAGGAGCCGGTAGGGAGAGGCACTTCCTCTCTGACTGGAAACTAGAAGTGAAAAGAAAGAATGAGAGAGAAACAGAGAGTGAGAGTTTGGGTGGGGGGGGTGAGCAGTGGTCTGCACTGGGGTGAGGAAAATCTGTCCTGTTGTTACTTGATACAGTTTAGGTGAAGAAGGGCAGCCTCAGACACTCAATCCCGTTAATGCGATAACTGAAAAAGTATTTTTTGGATCTTTTTGGAGTTTCATAGGGCTTTGGATAGAAGGTCTGGAACTGATTTTATTTTGAGGTGGCTATGTGGTAGCAAAGGATCAAAAGGACAGATGCAGATGACACTGGAGATGATCTTATGAACACAATAACTCTAATGTACCGGATGGATTTTTTTCAAATTTCATAGCAATATTGTATCGGTGATGTGGGGTCTGTTGTATTTTGAGTCAAATTTCACCAAAACTGAAGCAGTGTGACTTAGTGGTGGCAGGCGAACCTGATCACATTAAGACAAGTCAAACAAAGTTTGCTTGTTAATTAATATTTCTTTTTAGAGAGATGGGGAGAGTATATAGGGAGAGTTAGACATTGTAGAGGTTGGGGTGTGTGGGAGGGGTAGGGATAGATCCAGCAGGATCTAGTTTTTCTTTTGGAAACTGATACAGAATACTATTGTACCTAATTAATTAACTGCAACCACCATTTTACTTAAGCCCACATGACCAGCTAATTACTTTTTATACCTAAGTGTAGTTAATATCAGATACGTTAAAAGTTTTACTCAAGTGGTATTTTAATGGGTAATGCGTACCAAAGTAATTTTTCTAGTATGGTATCTTGACTCTTACTCAACTATGATTCTCAGGTACTCTATCCATCTTTGCTTTGGTCGCACTTGTCCACACTTAGTGCCTCCTGAGTCTCCCTGCCCCGTATGCACCTCCCACTTTGGCCCATTGTGACCATCAGCGTATATAAAAGCATTAACAGCCAGCGGCTACCGGCTTGTGTAATGAGTTATATTCTGAGGGTTATGGCTACTGAGATCCATTACAGTACAGAAGCACTCTTCACAGTGAGGGCACTACTGGAATCACACCTCAAACTAAATGCTAAGTACTTACCGCAGGTTAAAATCTCTTCATATGGAACAACGGCTGATAAATATCTCCCTGCTTGACACACCTTCAATCGCTCTCTGGTTGAAGAGGTCCTCTGCAGCAAAGCACGCTGACATACCCGACATTA